ACTACTACTACTACGACGCCGACGACGACGACGACGACTACGGCTACTACTTCTACGTACTCTCTGTTCAACCTATTGCAATCGCAAGTATTGCTACTGCTACTAAGGAGCACTACGATATTTCCTCCGAGCCCCAAGTCTCTGAGGTTGGGACTGACATCCTTCGCATACCGCTATGAGGGCCTTCGCCGATCTGACTTTGACGAGGCCTTGCGCTTGCTAGGGTCCTGTGAGGGGGAGTGTACGTAGGATTTCTTTACGGTAGAGAGGGACAGAGAGAACGAGAAAGGAAGGGGGATGCGTGTCGGTGTCTGAGTATGTGTTTATGTACTTGTGCGCGTGTATGCGCGACTGCAAAAATGAAGCGCATACAAGAATCGACTCACATGCTAGCACGCTTGCAACCCGTGCAGACGTATGTATAGATATGTAGTGACACATGTGCACCGTGCCTTGACACATACATGCTTTCATAGCTGTACATATATGTACATATAGACAGACTCAGGCACAGTCAAATCTCATAGACACATACACATGCACACACACACACATACACATACACATACACATACACATACACATACACATACACATACACATACACATACACATACACATACGCATACGCATACGCATACGCATACGCACATACACATAACACGTACACGCACACGTCTACATGCACATACACATACGCACATACATACATACATACATACATACTTACATACATACATACATACATACATACCTGTACGTACATTTTTACATACATACATAAATGCAGACATACATGCGCACACACAGACATAGATACATCCATACATGTGTACCTACACACATTCGGTTACTTATGCTTACATACGTACATACGTACACATGCCTGTTGCTTGTGACTTGGTCCACGCCCTTGTAGGTCATGTCGGCTCTGGCGGACCGCTTAGAGAACGAGGGTGGCGGATCCCAGCTGGAGAGGCCAACAGCTCTCCGCGGGGCGACCAAGATTGGAAGTTGAGGGTTGGGGGCCAGTTGGGGGTTTGTGAGGGGTTCGAATGCTCACTCAGCATGGATAGCCGTCGTCAGGGCCGATATAGTAGGAATGGACGGACACGGTGTAAGAGCAAGAGCGCCGCAAATTTTAGAAGCACCGCGATCGGTATTGTATGCATATACTACGAGTTGGGCTTGCGGCTTGCACTTCTGACAGCACGAGTCTTGGGGTTCTGGACACAGAGCCGAGGCTGTCGGAACTAGGCCGTTGTCGCTTCAATCGTTTCTATACGCTGAAGCTCCACCCTGCAGCACCTCGTTGGCCAAGAGTTCTACCGTACTTACTATGTTCTGCGTTTCTGTGGACGTGCCCATCAGGCCAGGCCCGACACGTTCGATTCGTTCAGCCTGGAAAGAGTTCCCTTCGGGACTACCCGGTCTGTGGTTAATTAGGACTCGATGGAGACTGCTGCAGCGAAATGGTGTAGCTCAAGATGCCCAACTCCAAAGCACTGAGAAGCCTGAGGCCGTCATCCCACAGACTCCAGCTGCGTAGAAAGCTCCTCGAAGTATAGACCTCTTCGAAGTCCCTCTCCCTTGTTGGACGGGAACACCATCATTGTCAGAGGTTGGAAGTCCTGGGTGGAGGAAGCAGGGGCCGTCTTCTGCGTGAAGCAGCGAGAGATGGACGAGCGTGCGGCCGCCGAGGACTCCTGATGCAGTAACGGTATCACCTGCACCAAATATTGTGTTACCTTGACTAGGTGACTAGCATGTTTTGTGCGAATATTCTATTCTAGTGAACCATCTGATCGTGAGAAATGGTGCCTCAGCGAACAGCCAGCCCGTCGCAGCCAGCAACAGCAACAGGAGCTGCGACGAGGATACGTGCAAATTCCTGTGTCGGTCGAAACTTGATAGAGTAGATCGAGCAGCCAGACGGCTCTCAGCAGTGGCTACCTCTGCTGTGGGGGCAGCGGAGCAGGTCCTTGGTTTGTCGCTGCATTGTCCTGGCACCCACGACGGTCCGCATTCTTTCCAGTTGTTGTTGTCGCTTTCGCTTACGAGTGCTTTCCCTCCTAGTAACTTTCCCAGCTCACTCAAATTCGCCGCATTTGCCGGAGTCCATTCTAGTCCTGACGGTGCCGCAGACATTTTTCGGTGGCAATTTGCATGACGACGAGCCGCTTCAATTGCCCGGATAGTTCAAGCATACTGGCATACTAGAGCCCTGTTTGACTTATGTTCCTTGGCTTTCTTTTACATCAACCAAAACAGTGGTGCATGCGTGCTCGTCCTCTTGTCATGGTAAGCCGCCCTTGGTACGTTTGTCTGCAGAGTGCCGATGTGTCACTAGTAGTTATGAGTACAAAAAATGTTACTTGCGCTGCTTGAATCAGCAGGTGTCAGAAAGAGTGAGCTCCTCATGCACATAGCGCAGATCAAGCAATGCAACTGGTATGCGTGCCCAAAGCACAGTTGATTCCTTGCAGGGTTCTGGTGGAGTTGCATGAAATCAGTGTTATTCATTATAGTACTGGTCGAATGCTGACATTATTAATAGAACAATTTGCAACCGACTGAACCGTCTTCGGTCCCGCCATGGCTCGTGAGGGCGAAGGCTTCAAGCTAGAGACGGAGCTTCACGTCGCTGCACGGCAAGGTGACGTCAAGGCTCTGAAGCGTCTGGTGGCGTCGGACACGGATGTGGACAAGGCCGATGTTGACCTCTACACACCATTGCACCGAGCCTGCGACCGGAAGGATGCTGCTTGTGTGGAGCTGCTTCTTGGAGCTCAGGCGGACCCCAACGTGTCACATCCAGGTTTGGACGGATGGACGCCTTTGCACCTGGCCGCCTGGCGCGACTCCCGGCCTTGTGCCGCCCTGCTCCTGGAGGCCAGGGCGGACCCGGCCGTCCTTGACTGGTATGGGAAGACCCCACTGTCACTTGCAGGCCATGATGTGAAGCCGCTCATGGCAGGCAGTCAGCCCAAGGGTGCCGACAGCTGGGAGAACTTCCGCAAAGGCTGTGTCATGCAACCCTCTGCCGTGCACCTCGCAAACATCGAGCGATGCAATCAGGCATCGCAGGAGCACGGTGAGCAGCAAGGCGAGTTCGTTGTCAGCTTCGACAGCAAGGCAGGCTCAGCTGCGAAGTCGCGGCTCTGAGCGAGCTGCATGCATGCAGCCATGAAGCATTCGCATGTTCATTTAGGTCTGAGTTGCTGCCCCTTGATGCACCGTTCCTGATCTCTCGGCGAAGCCGACCTAGGTTGCAGAGAAACGAGAACAGTTTTCGGAGCAAGCATGGAGAAAGCGGGAGCCGAGAATTGAGTGCATTCTGCCAGCGGCATTCGTGCGAGACACCACTGACCTCTGCCGTTAATTTCTTTGGAGCTTCATGCTGGATGTCGAAAACTTCAGGTTAAGTGCACAGGCTTCTCAGGACAAGGCAGCATGAGACCGAGTGTTATGTTCAGAAAGTGCGCAGTCAAACGCGAGTCGCAAAGGACGTGCGGCCCGGCAAGAGCCAAGCCAAGACTGAACCGTACAGATCCTGGAGTACATGTCACAATGTCGTAACCGTGAGTCAGATTGAAGCAAAGCACAGAGCGCATGGCAGTGAGCCATTCTGTATTACTCTTGTTTTCACTACACCCCGCATCAGTACGTGCAAACGGTATTCAGGAGGATTCGGGAGAGCAGTGGAAATCCCCCCCCCCCCCCCCCAAACACCGGCGGTTCGAGGTCCACGGTGAAAGTATTTTCGCCCAAGTACTGGCGACTTCGAGGATACTTCAAGGCCAAAGCTTAAAAGCTTCCCCTCCAAGCCTTACACGAGGACAACCGGGTTCAGGAAACCAGGGGCGTGCATGTTCCAACTCTCCACTGCAAAGCGCTACAACCCGCTTGGCACAGTGGTGAAGTCCTCAGTTCTTATTAACCCTAAGGGTCCATGTACCCAAATAGTATATACTCTGGCCTTGATGTAGTCCCTATATAGGTACTTTAGGGCCAATGTATATACTGTTTGGGTACATGGACCATCAGGGTAAGGCCCCTCCCCGGAGTTTTCTGGCCTTTCTCCCGAGGAGTCTGGCGAAGATCCCCGGGCCGACAAGCGACCCCGGGCCCGGAGCTAGGGTGGCTTTCTGTGGGAGAGGCTCGGGTTCAGGATTCAAGATACAAAGTTTGGGTGGAACTAGGTTTCGGGATGTTTCAGTGTTGTATTAGTTGGGTTTAGGATTCCGGGTCTAGGGTAGTTGTGCACAGCTTTCTGAAGACTGAGCAGCTAGCTCTTTGCTGTGATAAAATATGATAAAGAGCAGGGAAATGTGCATCCTCCTTCACTCACTATAGCCTGTTTACACCGACCAACAGTGCTTGGGGCCCGGCGCTGGCGCTTTGGCGCCAGGCCCTGCGCAAAAAAGTGCGACGGTTCAGGAACCAGAAAGCTTTGTACATTGTAACTGTATGGAGTTACTGTATATTTTAAGGGGACTGTGCCATTGATGATCCTGGTCCAAGGATTGACGTGCTCGTTCCAGAATGCTTGTGACATAGCAGTTCTTGATGTCGTCACCTGTGATGTCCTCTGTGTTCTCAACAATCCAAACCAAACCTGAATCGAATGCGCGTTGTCGTGAACTAAGGTCCTTCCCTTGCACCTTCTGGAGAAGACGAATGCGCCACAGCCGCTTACCGAGCCTTTCAACTCCGGAAACATGGTAGGATTGTTCCTCTGCTTACTCTCCGTTTAAGCATGGTCAGAAGTATATGATTGTCCTTTGGTTGCTGTTGCTGGTAGTGCCATTTCACAAATTAGAGGTGCCGGTCACTAGCTACTAGTCATAGCAAACATTCTCAGGATCTTGGGTGACCACATTTCTGATTAATCACAAGTATTGGTATACATTTCATCCCTAGCAATATCGTCACTGCTGTTGCTACTCTTAGTCTTAGACTGTTCCCCGCCTCAAAGTCGAGCCAGATGAAACTCCAGTACCCTACGCAAACCCTATACCCTAAACCCTAAACCCACTAATATAGCCTTTATGCGCCAGCTACCCTCAACCTGAGGATGCAGAGGCTTTTCGAGCTCTTCCGGAGGTAGCGACCGAGGGCTTTGAGCCTTCCGGGGGCCTCCCGTGTTTGGGGTGGCTTTGGATTTGGCGGCTTTGGTTCAGGGTTTAGGGTTTGGTTTTGGGGCTTCAGGAGTTGAGTAGGGCTTGTAGCGTGCAGCTTTAGATCTTCGTGCTGTAGGACGGAAGCACTTCCATCATTTCCCAGGGGCGCGACTCGTAGGAAGTGGAGCCCATATTCATGATCCCTTCGCCAGCCAGCCCGAAACCCTGAACTTGCTCACAGGGCGGAGCTTCCCGTTGCACTTGCTATACCCCATAGGTGTTGATGATTCCTACTCGACTTACTCCCACTCTTATGATTTACATCGAATCAGTATCATCATGGAGGCTCCTGGCTTATTCTCTATCGCAGGCTGCCCTCGGCCATCCA